TTAGAAGGAGAGAGACAAATACAGAATGATGTCTCTCATATTTGGGATATAAAGAAGCAGCAGGGGAATAGCGAATGTCCAAAAGCAATCGAAACAAAGAACATGAATACTGGTTTTCAGTAGGGAGCATGCTATGGATAGGGGTGGGAAGGAGAAGTGGGAGAATGTGGGAGAAATAGAACAATAAAGAGAACATTACAACAATAGTGGAGGTAAGTGTTCAATGGGTAGGAGGAGGGAATACTGAAAGGTAGTACATTATTATGAATGAAATGCTATCACTTATAGTACTGTACCACAGTGCCAGAAGTTATTTAAACAATGCCTTGGAGGGAAATAGGTTGTTGGTAGAAGGAAATGGACACTGGCAATAGATTGGTATTAAAAAATTTTATGCCTGAAACCCTATCATGAATAACTTTGTAATCCACCATGACTACTATGTAATTAACATTGAGGTTATCAATGAAATAAAATAGTGTGGATCTGAAAAAAAAGAAATAATTAGGTAAGAATGTTTTAAAAGTTATTTTATTTTTATGCTTTTTCTGATTTGTAAATTAACATTTAATGTATGCCAATATGATTTTACTCTTACTATTTTTAATGTAAAATATTGGAATAGGGGTTATGTTCTTTATAAAAACTGTTATAGAAAAATTAAAAAATGGTTAAAACTTACTATTAATCCAAATATTAGAAGTTCCTTAGTGAAATAAAAGGAAAGAAACTCTGCAGCCTAGAGATATAGTACAGCAGACAGGACACTTGTTTTGCAACAGGTTAACCCAGTTTTTATCCCTGGCACCAAATATAGTCCCCTGAACCATGCCAGAAGCAAGCCTTGAGCATCAGCAGATGTGGCCACACGAAAGAATAAACTCCAATTTGTTTTCTGTAACTGAGGTACCAGTCTAAATTGAATCATTAAGGAATTAATTTCAAGACTTGAAAGATTATTTTGGGATGTTCTTTGCTACCTTTTACATACAAAAAACAAAATTTAATTGTAGCTCAACTTTATTAAAATGTTAGGACAATAAGGTTTGCAATTTAGCTTTGGATGATGAGGTTTTATACTTTTTATATTGATTTATTGAGATTATGTGGCAAAATACAATTCTCATGAAAGAATTTTAAACATTTTTTTCAAATGTTTCTGAACTCAGACCTCTACAAGACTGTTTAGAATACCTCTGGGATACCGAAAGAGTCTCTTTTAAAACTGCAGGAAAACTGAGCTGAAGACATTTGTAGTGATCTAAAATGATGACTGTGGTCTTGGAGACCAATATCCTTCTGTCTGGGTGGTGGAAAGTAGAACTGCTATCAGTTTGGGATTATCTCATAGCTTTTAGTCTGTTTCTGCTATAACACAATCCCAGAAATCTCTTTAGATCTAGTCTTTAATATCTTTGGTATATATTTAAGCTGTTTTAATCATTCCAGAGAGCCTAAAATAATTATATAGGCCAGTGCCTGTTTAGCTGGTGTTTCTTAATTACTATTGTCAGTTCCCGCCCCTTCTCTCAGTCTAGTTGCCTGTCTCACTTTGACTAGACCCTTTCTGATTTTCTTTTCCCAGTCAGTTTGCTGGTATCCATCCCTTTTAGTAGGGTTTTGTTTTTTAAAACAGTCATTTAGTGTTTCTAGGTAAACCCAGAATTTTTCTTAAAGGGAATCTCATTATAAGGTCTGAATTCCATTTAAATAGCAGCCTAATCCTTTTGTAAAAGGGTTCATTGCTCTAAGTTTACTGAAATGTTTCTTCAGTAACCATCCCCTGCTCTCATTACTTTTCTGTTGATTTGGTTGTTTAAGCAGCAGGAACATTTCAAAATTTTTTGAACAATAGTACATGATTCTCATATTCAAGTGTCTTATCAGCTGCTCCAAGTTTAACTCAGATTTCTTAGTTCTTTTTATTTCTACCTGCTTGGGTTTGCCTTTAAACAAAAACACTTATTGTAGTCTTCTATAAAATTTAAACTGAATATTTATTATATTGTTCTGAAAAGTCCAGGAACAACTGAATAGAAAGAGGGACTTTATTGGCTTGAAAACAGTTGTAAGTTGGAAAGCTTGTTTACCAACAAGACTGGAAAACAAGCTTACAAGAAAGACAGTGGGAGGTCTGGTTTTATGCTCAGCAGAACTAGGGTGAGTTTTTCAGGAAACTCATACATATTTATGAGAAGAAGCAGCTGGCATACATAGTTGAGAAACAAAAAAAAGATGTATATCACATGTACCAAAAATGGTGGGAAAGGTGTCAGGGTGGACTTTTTAAGTATGGCAGTGGGGAGAGAGGTGAAGAAACCATTCTATAGGTTCCACTGGCCAGTACTGTCCAGCCAACGGCCTATGGTGCTTATAAATACAGAAGTATTCTTGCTTTGGTTTTGGTTTTTTACCATACTCTGTGGCACTTTGCTTGAGAGATAATATGTGATGCAGGGACTGAATAAGGTTCAGTCATGTATAAGCACTTTTACCAGCGTACAATTTCTCTAGCTCTATAAAAATATTCTCAGGTTTCCATTTTAGCCCCTTCAAAAACTGAAGGAATCTAACTGGGGTGGCTTCTCTCTCTAAACTATAATCCTCAGGCTAGTCCCTACTCAACTATTCAACTTTACCTAACCCTTAGAGTCCTTTTAAATTTTCAGGGGCGGGGGAATAAGAAGAGGGGATTAGCTTGCAAACTTAAAAAAAACTTATTTGATTATAAATCCCAATTATTTTAAAGTAATTTTTAATGCTCACTCAGCTGTGATAGAAGTACCACATCAATTCTGCTTTATTTTGTCTTTTTCCCCCCTTATTGAACATTTGTATAGCCATTAAAATCATAGTACTATAAAAACCTTTAATAGTACTTTTAGCGAATACAGATTGGATAGCTCAAGAAGTCGAAGAGGGCCAGAGAAACAGTTCGGGGGTAAAAGTGATTGCACATGGCCAAACCTTGAGTATTGTTGGGTGTGATTATTCCCCGCCCCCTGGAAAAATAAAGACCACAATGTAGTTTTAATTATTTTTTAGTGGATGATGTTAATAAATTTATATGATTGTCATCTGTATATTTTCTTTACTGCATGAAATACTCATATGAAGTATACTCTTTCAGTAAAGTAGTTCATTACTCATGTATTTGGTCATTTGTCAGTTGATTTTGTTTTTTCTGTTTTTTGACCTGCGGGCGAGAGGACTCTTCAAGTGAGGCTCAGAGAGCCCAGGGGTCTCTTCTGGAGATACTCAGCCATCCAGCCAAGACATTGGTTCAGTTCTAGGGCCCACGGATATACCTCTTATGCTCTGCAGTGACAGGGACCACCAAGACCACTCAAAAGCACTCAGGGATCTTAAGGCTACTCCAAAGATGCTAAGGGTTCGCAGGCTAAATCCTCAGGTGTAAAGATTCTGAAAAAACCCTGAAAAAGAACACCTGAATTCAAAGTTATTTTTACTTGGTAGTGCCCAGCAAGGACTCTTATCTGTGCAAAGAGATTCAAGTTAAGGAACTTTGAAAGATCCTTATATAATCAGCTTCCAGAGCAACTCAAGGTACTCCTTTTCAGAGTTACCCACATTCCCTATTCTGGGTGAATATACACATTTCTTTCTTCTGTTTGTTTGTTTGTTTTTATCACACCCGGTGATGCACAGGAGTTACTCCTTGCTCTGCAATTAGGAATTACTCCTGGCAGTGCTCAGGGGACCATATGGGATGTTGGGAATTGAATCCAGGTTGGTTGCGTGCAAGGCAAATGCCCTGTTCACTGTGCTATCCCTCCAGCCCTGTCCACATTTCTTTACTTCACTTTAAACTTTCTGTCCTCAGAGAACAAAAGGGAATGCCCTGCCACAGAGGCAGGGTGGGATGGGGGGATAGGTGTGGGAGGGATATTATCCATGGTGGTGGAAAATGGGCACTGGTGGAGGGATGGGTATTTGATCATTGTATAATCGAAACCCAAGCACAAAAGTTTGTAAATCTACAACTGTACCTCATGGTATTTCACTAATAAAAATAAAAAAAGAAAAAACTTTCTGTCCTCTCTTGAGATGACTATATATTTTTTCTTAGATTCATTATTATTTTTCTTTAATAAAAGTTTCTTATTTGGGCCAGAGAGATAGTAATGGGATTGAGGTGCTTGCTTTGCACATGATTGACTGCAGATTGATTTACAGGTTTCATGCTTTTATGATAGTTATTTTTAATAAAATTGAGATTTTCCTATTTTCCAACATTATTATATATGATATTTGACCTAATAAATTTGATCCTATCCAAAGAGTATTTGAATGGGTATATTTAACAATACTCTATGGTAAATTAATGTTATGTAAGATCCTTTTTGTTGTTGTTGGTTTTGGTGTCATACCTGGCAGTGCTCAGAATGTACTTCTTGCTCTAGCCCCTCTGAGATATTTTTAGGTTCAAAGTTGTCAGACTCGTACATTTCTCTAAATTAATTATGCCCAACCAGTTTATTATTATGAACATATCATAATAATATACTTTCCTTTAGTGTTCATGGATTTATACTCAAGTCACCAAATATATAAATGGTAATTGGAGTAAAAATTACTTCCATCATTGATATGATCATTTGTATAGATCAAGGTGAACTTACAAATATTTTTTCCAGAAGATCACTATACAAAAGCAAATTGCCAGATGGAATCTCTTAGACATTATATTTTATTTTTGTTTCATGGAGTGGGGAGGTCATACCTTGAGGTGTTCACATCCTGTTTCTGTGCTCAGAGATCACTCTTGACGGTGCTTGGGGACCATATGTGGTTTTGAGAATCAAACCCAGGTTGACCCTATACAGGCAAATACCTTGCTTGCTATACTATCTCTTTTTACAAAATTTCTCACTAAATTATTGTTAAGTGTTAATAAATAAAATTCCTTGTGAATATTTATCAAATAATAATCATATTTTGTAAACAGATATATCAGAGTATTTAATTTTCTCTTTCAGCTCTGTTGGCTTAGCAAAATCAGCTCTAGAAGCAATTAATGGATTCAATCTCTTTGGCAATCAGGTAAAAACCATAAATAACAACAGTAAATTGAGTGTATTTTTAAGTGTTTGTTTGTTTAGTGTTTTCATTCATTAGGCATGTTTCTCCTTATGATCAGGGAATGTCTAAAATTTTAATGGTAGCCCTTGTTTTAAGAATCTTAACTTTCAATAGGATACCTATTTATATTTTAGTTTTCAAACAAAAACATTGTTTAATTAAAAATACTTTTAATAAAGAATTTTCATTTTCTCGGTTCAATAAAGTCATTGGACTTTTGCATTGTTAAATGTTACTAATATTATATAGTAATGGAGACTACATAGTCTCAATGCCAGTTCTTATATTTATTTCATTTTAATGTATGTGAATAATCTCATGGAAAGGGGAACTTGATTGTGTGTGTGTGTGTGTGTGTGTGTATGTGTATTTGGAAGTCTTAATTATAGCTTAGCCCTCAACTATTATTCTTTGAGATAACAGGTAAACCTTGAATATTACATTAAATTTTCATAAGATCTTTTGTGAAATTTTTCCCTTTTTATTTTTTTCATTTGATTTTGGGTGTTTATGGCTTACTCCTGGCTCTGTGCTCAGGGATCACTCCTGATAGATGTAGGGGTCCATATGGGGTGCTGATGATCAAACCTGAGTTGGCTATGTGCAAGGCAAGTGCCCTGCGTGCTGTATTATTGCTCCAGCTCCTGATAGTTTTTGTTTCTAATCAAGTGATCACAGTTTAGTTATCAATGGAAGGAAGTAAAATGTAAAACTACAAGGGATCAGAGATAAAGTGCAGCAGGGTTTAGGGTGCTTGTCTTATACAAGGTCAACCTCTGTTTGATCTCTACCACTTCATATACTTCCTTGAGCACTGCCAGGAACGATGCCTGAGCACAGAGCCAGGAATGCGTCCTGGGCACAATTCGGTATGGCCCAAATCCCTCCTCTCCTTTCCAAAAAGCACAATGGCTTTTTCCTCTAGTTCAAGAAATAGAGGCTAACTTTTCTATAGCAATTTTTGTAAGGATTCATAAGATGGGAGGGAAATGGAAGTTTTCAACTAATATAACAGTCATGGTCACGGTCCTCCTGTTGTTCATCGATTTGCTTGAGTGGGCCTAGTAACATTGTGAGACTTGTTACTGTGTTTAGCATATTGAATATGTCACGGATAGCTTGCCAGGCTTTGCCGTGTGGGTGAGATACTCTCGGTAGCTTGCCAGGCTCTCCGAGAGGGGCGGAGGAATAGAACTCTGTCGGCCATGTTGGCTGCATGCAAGGCTTACATCCTACCCACTGAGCTATCGCTCCAGCCCATCACTGTCACTGCCCTCCCGTTGTTCATCAATTTGCTCGAGTGGGCCCAGTAATGTCTCCATTTTGACAATTGTTACTGTGTTTGGCATATCGAATATGTCATGGGTGGCTTGCCAGGCTTTGCCGTGCAGGCAAGATACTCTCGGTAGCTTGTCCGGCTCTCCGAAAGGGGCGGAGGAATAGAACTCGGGTCGGCCATGTTGGCCGCTTGCAAGGCAAATACCCTACCTGCTGTGCTATCGCTCTAGCCCCAACTAATATAAATAACACAAAATTATTAAAATGCTGAATCAGTGAGGATACATTAAAAAAGTTATAAGACCTGAAAAATGTGACAAGGTTTTTGCTGTAGCAATAGTAAAACTATGTGCCTTGGTTTTAGGATTAAGAATATTTCAAGTTGGGGGCTGGAGCGATAGCACAGCAGGTAGGGCATTTGCCTTGCATGTGACCGAACTGTGTTCGATTCTCAGCATCCCATATGGTCCCCCGAGCACCACCAGGAGTAATTTCTGAGTGCAGAGCCAGGAGTAACCCCTGAGCATTACTGGGTGTGACCCAAAAAGAAAAAAAAATGAATGTTTCAAGTTGGAGTATGGTAATATAATTACCTCTTTTCCACTCTCTGTGTGTATAAATGCTCTTCTTATTTCAACGTTCTCTGAAATATGGATTCTGATTATATCCACGATATATAGAACTAAGAATGACCATAGGATTTAAGAGAGGGAGAACCACTTCTTTCTGGGTATCCAAGAGGTGACACTAAATTACCCTTTTCACAGTCTTCTTTCTCTCTCAAGATTGACTGGAGAAGAGGTGAGATTAAAGTCTGTGGGGATATGGAAGTGTAGAGCATCAAAAATCATGACTTTTAATATTCTGTACAAGAGATTCTTGTTGCCTATAGTAGAGTATTTTAGCTTGTATCAACATTTCTTTATACCTAGAGGAATCATCACTTTCTTGCAAATCCCATAGCTTTTTTTAAAAATTTTCTTTTCAATCCTGACTCACTCTCAAGACATTCATTTAAATATTAATATGTGCATGTCATATATGTATGAATGTATGTTTGTAATATATTGTATATTAAATATGTAGAGAAAATAAAATATGTATTTGAGAGAGAGAAGAGAGGGAGTGAGAGAAAATGAAGGGAGAGCGACCTAACTTAAGTTTTCAAGAAAATAGGAATATTAAACCCTCAAATAATGCCATCTTTAGTTACTAATAATGAAGTAATGGTAATATTGAAGAAGGAAAATAAAGAGATTATACTGAAAATTCTCTAGAGGGTATCTCAGACATAGACAAAACTAGTAGTATTATAACAGCAGTTGAGAAAGATTACAGTATTAATCTTGCATTACATGGCAACCAAATAAAGAACGAAAGAGTTGTGTGTCTAAATCAAGTTACAAAGTTGTGATCAACTTTTTATTTCTTTGTGCTATCTACTTTGATATACTTGAGTCTTGCTGTATGTTGCTTACAAATGTAGTATGCACCCAAACCTTGAACACAGATATAGTACTTTTACTTGCTACCCATCTTTCAGGGTTCTCTCATCAGCTGACTTCCTAGAAATTTTTCATTGACTTATGATCCATAACTTTTTTCTTGTTTTTTTTTTGGCCATTCCTGGTAGTGCTCAGGTTTATTCTGGTTCTGTGCTCAGGGATTACTCCTGGTGGGATCAGGGGACTATATGGGGTGCCAGAGATTTCCCTACCCACTATACTATTTATTGTACAAGCCCCTACGCATAACATTAAAGAAAATAAACTCAGACTCCTTTTTTCCACTGTACACAAAAGTTAATTCATAATGGATATAGACCACGAGATTAGACTTAATTAATCAACTACATTGAAGAAAACAGAGGCAGAATAATTCATTACATTGAATCTATGGATATCTTCAGTGATTTAATGCCATTGGCCAACGCAGTGGAAGCGAAGATAATCAAATTAAACTACATCGAACTAAGAAGCTTCTGCACTACAAAAAGAAATGAGTACCTGTATAAAGACACTCCTCTGACTGAAGGAATGTATTTGTCCATTACTTATTTGATAAAGGGTCTTTATCATATCAGGATATATAAAGCAGTAGTAGAACTTTACAGAAAGAAAAGAAACAAAACAACCCCATTTTGATGGACAAAAATACCCTCAAAGAAGACATACAAATTTCCAAGGAGTATATGACAAAAATGCTCTGCATCATTTATCAAATGCAAATAAAAATAAAGAGATTTCATATCATATCATACCAGGAGGGTTGTCACACATCACAAAAAACAAAAACCAGTGCTGGCGTGGATTTGGGAAAAGGATCCCTCATCACTGCTGGTGGGAATGTTGACTGGCTTTAGCTTTCGGGAAAATTATTAAGACACTTCTCAAAAATTTGTAATTGAACATCCATATGACACAACAATCCCATATTCTGGCATTTACCTCAAGGACCCAAAAACCCTATTCAAAAAAGACATTTGAGAAACCTAAGTGTCCAAGAACAATGATTGGCTAGTGAAACTATGGCAGGTACACATAATGGTATACAACTTGACTATAAGAAAAGTCAACATCATGCAACTTACTGATATGTGTATGCATCTAGAGAATATCATGCTGAGTAAAGATAAAGGGAGAGGGACATATATAGAATGATCTCTTAATGTGGGATATAAAGAAACAATAAGAAAATAACAAATGTTCAGAGGCAAGAGAAACTTAGAACTGGGCTTTAGTAGGGAGCTTGCCACAGTGGGGCTGGCAGGTTGGGGACATGGATAGTGCTGAAAGAAAGTAGATACTCTGGTGAAGGTTGTGCTAGTAGCACATTTTGTGTATGAAGCTCTGTCATTGACAGTATTGTAAACCACCATGACTGAAATGACATTTAAAATAGATAAATAAAAGGGCTGGAATGATAGCACAGCGGGTAGGGCATTTGCCTTGAATGCAGACGACCTGGGTTCGATTCCCAGCATACCATATGGTCCCCTGAGCACTGCCAGGAGTAATTCCTGAGTGCAGAGCCGGGAGTAACCCCTGAGCATTGCTGGATGTGACCCAAAAAACAAACAAAAAAAATAGATAAATAAAAATACTCCTCTCTTAGCTTTGCTCAAGATAGGCACCGGAGAGCCCATTGCTGAAACAGGGAAGAAAGTCTCATAATAGTTTTGTAGTTTCTTTTGTTTCCAGAAAAAAAGAGAAAAATCATTTAAGGTAGATATACTAATCATTTTTGTTTTGTTTATTATTCAAAGCTGTTTTAAGACAGCAAGCCCATTAACTCAGGTTCAGAGAAATGGTTAATGGAGGAAGAGAAAGACCCAGAAGTACCTCAAATTATTCCACTTTGAATTGACATTGAAAAGATGACCACTGTCTTATGATGATTGATGGCATTTTTAGCCTCAGTGTCCAGCTATTACAATCTTGAAGACTAGAGTAGCTAGTTCACTGCAGCTGAAGTCCTCATGATTCTGGTTACACTGAATTATCTTCTATTATATTTACTAGAACACAATCACAGAACGTTGATTTGGGAGTATAGGTTTGATCTGCCAGTCTTAAAATCTGTTCTTCATATGAAGTCAGGATACTATAGCAGAGTTGTTATGATTACAGGAAATGAAAGATGAAAAGAAAATATGCAGAGTTAATCAGATATTCTGTAGTGACAAATATAAAACATCCTTTTATATTCCCGTTGTTAATTGGAGAAATCAAGATACCGACAAATGAGCTGAGGCCGGAATCTATAAGGTGATGATGACTAGAGATTGCTCATTTTATGGAAAACTGATCAAGGCATGGATTCCTTTGAAATTTAGGAGACCCAAAACAAATGTGTCTGATCATTTAAAGTAGGTGATAATTAATTCCATATGTAGTTTCTCTTTGATGACTTTTTTGAAAAATTTGCTTCTATGTAGGAAAATCTGTCGATAGCCTAGGCAGATTTATCTTTATTTATTATAAATCTTGGGCCATATAACCTAAAGTTTGGTTCATGTTTTGAGGACAAAGAACAAAGTTGGAAAAACTTTAATTTTATTGTTAAAATGTGGTAACGTTTTGTGCTTATCTTTCTTTCCCTTTTCACATATTAATTAAAGGCTGGCAGAGTAAGCGACCTGAACAAATGTTTTGGTCACTTTAGATAAAAAAAAGTCATTTAAGTGTGGTAAAAAAAATAGAAGGTGATGTCTACATTAATCAAATTATAGCAAGAATTGTCAAAATTTCCATTTCACTTTATTATTTGCAAGTTATCCTACTTTGATTATATTCTTTAAAAGTTCAATTTAGAACAGACTGAGTTGGCATTTAATTAACTATATTAATTATCAGCCTAATGAGATTTTAAAGTTTTATTATTTTGTGTATTCACAGGTGCTGAACAACTCAAATCCAGTTATTTTTCTGATGCTTTATTCTAATCACTCTATTTGTTCCCTTTAAGTTTTCCAAATTTAAGATCCTAGCTATAAATACTCCAATCTTTATTATTTTGTTATTTCTTATAAAAAATTATTTGCATTTTATAAAACAGACATCTTTCAGTATTCATAATTAGTATATATGATTGATAAAATAAAATAATTTTAATAACTATGAAATCAGTGTTTATTGTAAAGGTTTTTAGGAAAGGTATGTAGAAATACTTAAAATATATAATAATGCTTTTCAGTGCAACCAATATTAGTATATTTTGAGAGATATTTTATTTATTTTTGAGTTTTTTTATTACCATGAGATTACAGTTACAAAGCTTTCATAATTGAGTTTTGGTCATAAATGATCAAATACCCATCCCTCCACCAGTGTGCATTTTCTACCACCAGTATCCAAATATCCCTCTCACTACCACAACCCCATCCCACCCCTGTCTCTGTGGCAAGCATCTTTCTTCTTACTTTCTTTCTACTTTTGGGCATTATGTTTTGCAATACAGATACTGAGAGGCCATCATGTTTGGTCCTTAACCTACTTTCAGTACACATCTCCCATCCCGAGTTATCCCTCCAACCATCATTGGCTTAGTGGTCCCTTTCCCCCACAGCACATGAGGCTGGCTTCCAAACCCTGGAGTGATCTTCCTGGCCCTTATCACTACTCCTTAAGTGTTAGTCTCCTATTATGTTATTTTATATTCCATATGAGTACAATCATTCTATGCCTGTCTCTCTCTATCTGACTCTTTTCACTTAGCATGATATGCTCCATGTCCATCCACTCATAAGCAAATTTCATGACTTCATTTTTTCTGACAGATGTGTTGTATTACATGTGTAGATGTACCAAAGTTTCTTTACCCAATCGTCTTTCCTCTGGCACTCGTTTTTTTTTTTTTTTTCAAGATTCTGGCCATTGTGAACAGTGCTATGATAAACATGCAGGTGCAGATGTCATTTCTACTGTGTTCTTTTGCATCCCTGGAATATATCCCCAGAAGTGGTATTGCTGGGTCATATGGGAGCTAAATTTCTAGTTTTTGGAGGAAAGTCCATATTGTTTTCCAAAAAGGCTGGACCAGTCGGCATTCTCACCAACAATGAATGAGAATCCCTTCTGAGAGATATTTTAACAGAATGTCTAGGGATCTCTGAGTCCTTTTTCCTTAAATTAAGATATATTTTTCCTCTCATTCCAGGGTTGTTCTTGGTCGGTTATATTTGTGGATCTCGATGCTCACAATCGCAATAGGCAAACTTTGTGTTCACTGTTACCCAGAGAATCAAGATCTCATGTAAGATATTTTTATAGTAAATTAGTATGCATTATTATTTATGGCATTGTCTTTTGTTTACATTTATAAGAAAGTTCTTTAAAATGTTCAAGATTGTCAAAAAGTGATGAGAAGAGAACATGAATGCTGCATCTTATTTACTCCCATCACCTGTGGAGGTCTTGTTCAGAACAAAACTATTGACAAATCTGCTTTGAGTCTTTTAATAAATAATAGAGAAATAGACCTTTGTGTATGTGAGTCTGGGATGAGGGGATCAAGTAGCAATGCTATATTACAAGAATTTTTTCCCATGGATATTATAAAGTGATTTTTAAATAATTTTTAATTCTTTTGAATAGGTAAGGTAAAGGTAAAGGCCCTCCCGTTGATCGTCGATTTGCTCGAGCGGGCCCAGTAACGTCTCCATTGGAGACTTTGTTGTTACTGTGTCTGGCATATCGAATACTCTCGGTAGCTTGCCGGGCTCTCCGAGAGGGGCGGAGGAATTGAACTCGGGTCGGCCATGTTGGCCGCTTGTAAGGCGAACGCCCTACCCGCTGTGCTAATTTTTTTTATTTTTTCCCATTGTTTTATTAGTATTTTGGATACAATTTTATGTCTATAGTACCCAAGAACAAAATTTTCTAGGATTTTTATTGCCTTGTTTTTAGAAAGTGCCCAAAATGTAACAATTTAGTTATGAAAAAATCAAGTATTTTATAACAACAACGAGAGAATATGATAAAAGAAAACATAATCTACTAATTAGCAAATAAAAGTAATACATCTATTTATTACTCCACTATTCAGCCAGAGTGCCAACATTTAGGTTTGCCCTTATTTTTGTATACATTTAATATATATTTCTACAGAGGTCATACCCAGCAATGCTAAAGGACCATACCCAGTGTTGCTCCTCTTAATGGTGCAAGGTTGAGGATTGGGCCAAGCAGTGTGGTGCTCATCGCAGAGGTGGTCAGAGCCCAGGTCAGAGCTTAGGGAGCCTTGTGGTGTTGGATCTTGAACTCAGCCTGGCCCATGCATGTTTCCTTAACACACGAAACATGTGCTTCCCTTCTTGTGAAATTTCCCCAGACCTTTTTATTTTACAGAACTAGAAATTTGTTGTTCATAATGCTCAATAATCTAGTTCTCATATTGATAGACATGTTTTCATATCAACAAAATTTCTACAATATACATTATAATGTTCACTAATTCACACATCTATTTATTGTATATTTAGATTGTTTCCTGTTTTTCACTGTTAGAAACACATTATTATGGAAGTAGGTTGTAATGAGTAATTACTGATTTAAATTTTATATATTGCCTTAATTAATCTCTAAGTTTAAACACAGGTCTTGAAGCTTGAAAATATTTGTTATTGATAACTTTTTTTTTTTTTTGCTTTTTGGGTCACACTCAGCGATCTCAGGGGCTACTCCTGGCTTTGCACTCAGGAATCACTCCTGGCGGTGCTCGGGGGACAATATGGGATGCTGGGAATCGAACCTGGTCGGCCGCGTGCAAGGCAAACACCCTACCCACTGTGCTATTGCTCCAGCACTGATGATAATGTTTTATCTCACCTGTAAGACTCACTTCTTTGTCCCATTTGAGCAGCTGGCTGGCTGTCCCTTGAAGCAAGCAGCCTCGCTGGTAGTGAGAGAGCTTTCCTGGCTTTATGATTTCTCTTGGGCTATGCTTATTTTTTTAAGTCTTTTTTTTTTTTTTTGGTGCAGTGCACAGGGGTTACTCCTGGCTCTGCACTCAGGAATTATTCCTGTCACTGCTCAGGGGACCATGTGGGATGCTGGGAATCGAACCCGAGTTGGCTGCTTGCAAGGAAAACACCCTACCCACTGTGCAATAGTGCAGCCCCAAGGGCTATGTTGATCTTATCACTTCAGTTTGTTTTCTTTTTCATATTCCCTCTAGAACACAGATGCTGCCCTGCTTCCCTGTATCACTTATCCTGCATTTGCCCTGGATGATGAAGCTCTGTTTCGCCAGACACTTGATAAAGTAGTTAGAAAATTAAAGGGAAAATATGGATTTAAGCGTTTCTTAAGAGATGGGTACCGAACATCATTGGAAGACCCAAACAGACGCTATTACAAACCAGCAGAAATTAAGGTACCCAAAACAGTTAGATTGTATAGCAGAGCAAAACAAGGAAGTAAATGTGTTTGAATTCTCTTTGCCATGTAATCATTTTCTAGCCTTGGGCAAGTTAATTAACACTCTGTTTAATAATTTTTATAGCAAAATTATTTTAGTACCTCTATTCTGGTCCTGTTGCAGAGCTTTGTAGGATAATTAAATCTGTTAATATACCCATAAGTGCTTAGAAAGTGTTTGGCAATGGTAAATGCTCATGTACTTTTAGATCTTCCTACTAGTGAGACCCATTTGTTCATATTTTTGGTCATATTGAGTCACTACCTAAATAATTTTTATTTTGTACATTCAGAACTATGCTTGCCTATTCCATGTTGCTTGTCTTATAAAGTATGTATTTGTCAGCCATGTTCAGTCTATGAAGCAAATATTTCTCTTTTGTTTCACGTAGATAATTCATTATAAATCATAGTTCTCTAAATATTTAGTTTAAAATGTTTAGTATTTGAAATGCACATATATATGCCATGATATCTAGATGGTACAAATTATTTTAAATCTTTCTAGAAAACTATTTCCCAGAAGTAAGTAAAACTATATTGCCCTGAGGTAGTTTGAAAACTGTTTTTAAACTTTTTAAGCTGTTTTAAACAAAGCGTGCTCATAACTGACTCACTAAACATAGGGAAAGTCATGAATCTGTATATAAAAACTGTCTAGGTAGCATCGTACTTAACAATATTTGGCAGTTAAATACTTCTTTTAAACTTTAATATATGCTTAATTTTACAGGCCAACTAGATAAGGTATCATTTTATTTAGCCATTCAAATGACTATCACTTGGATAGATGCATTAGGAATTATTTTATTATGTGTATTTAAAAAAATTATAGCAGTTTTGACTGGTCTTCAAGCCTGTGTTCTCCCTTGAACAAGCTTGTCTGTGTTTCTTTGCTTGCTTATTTACACCAAGGACAAGCAGTGTTTTCTCTCAAACATGTACTTTTAAACTTCTCACCCTTACATCTTTCTAAATTAGTTTCAAAAAAACTTTGTTTCACAGAAAAGTATCTATAGCAGTTTCTTCCTTAGATTGGACCAAGAGAACTATTTATATTTTAAATACCATCATATGTTTCTTTTTCTTTTAATGCAATCCCACCACAGATTTATGGTGCTTATATTTGGATAGATTCAAAATTACATTTGGGCTGGAGCCATAGCACAGCAGGTAAGGCATTTGCCTCGCAGGCGGCCAACATGGCGGCCAACTCGAGTTCGATTCCTCTGCTCCTCTCGGAGTGCCTGGCAAGCTACTGAGAGTATCTCGCCTGCACAGCAAAGCCTGGCAAGCTTCCCGTAGCGTATTCGATATGCCAAACACAGTAACAATTATCACAATGGAGACGTTACTGGGCCCGCTCGAGCAAATCGATGAACAACGGGAGGACCGTGACAGTGACAGTGACAAAATTACGTTTATAATGCTGAGTATCACCAAGGAAGGAAGTCTGAATGGAGGCCACTCTAGACTCAGATCATACACTGTGGTTCAGTCTTCACCATTGCTTTGACAGTTCTTGTCACTCCTGCTAACTGACATAATCTGGAAATCCTCTTAGAAGCTCTTCCTGCTTTTTCGCATGTATACTCACTCAAGGTCCACTTCTTTCCTTTTAACTTACGGGCAAATAGCCTTTCATTTCTGTTTGGACTTCTCCACTGGATCTGTCTCTCATTCATTCTCTCTTGTCTCACAGAGGTGTTTTAACTCTAAGGCTTACTGTATGTATACTCACTCAGCCCATATAGTTTGAGTGGGACACTTAGTATAATTTGTCTTCCCTGGAAGAAGAATGGCTACCCTTATTTATTTTTTTTCTCCTCATGTTTCTCACTTTTTCCTTCCTTTAGTCTTGTTCCCACTACATGATTCAACTTCCACTCACTCAGCATAAACACATTAATATCATCATTATAAATGCAAAACAAAAATGCCCAAACCCCACAACCCTCTCAGTCAACCTTTTTAGCACTTTATCTTCTTTTCTGTTTTTCTTTGTATCCCCACTTCTGAAGAGTATGGTTTATTCCTGGTGTGTTTTCTTGTTTGTTTAGTAGTAATTTATTTATAGTTCAACTCCTCTCTCTAGCTCTTAGTAGCTGTCTTTAGCCTAGTAGGTCATAGCAGATGCTTTTCTTACAGTATTTCACTAAACCTCTTTTTGGTCATTGAGCATCTCAACTCTCCCTGGAAGGTCTTCCATTTTCTTTGATGCCCTTAGCTTCCTAATTGTCTTTTTACTTGTTTCACAGTTCTTCTTAGTAGGCTTAGAAGGCTTATCATCTTTGGCCTTCTCTTAAGCATTGCTACTCTGATGAATTCCATCCTTGTACTATTCTTTTTTATGCTAGCCATATAGTCACAGCTTCAGTTACCATTGTTAACCTCAATCTCGATCTCTAATTCATGCCATCTGCCTAGGTTCACCTTCTGCCCTTCTGTCCAGTCTCTAAACCTAAGAGTCTTTTTAGGCTCTTTCATTTCACTTCCCCCTCTATATTATCTTGACTGGCATATTTAGCCTCCCTAAATTTCAAGTCTGTCTCTTTCTATTAACTCCTGGAATGGGTTCATAACCTGGAATAGCTTTAGTCTCTAAGGACATTTGACAGTATCTGCATTTTTTTATTGTTATAGTTTGGTAGGTGTCACAGTCATTAAGAAGGTATAATAGCAGCCAAGTATCCTACAATGCACTAGATAACCCCTAGAACCAAGGATTATTTTATCTAAATTGCCCAAAGTGATAAATTTGAGAAACTTGTTTAGACTGTCATCTTTTTCATTTGTTCCCAGCAGCCTTCTAGTTGGTTTCTTTATTTCTTGTCCTTTGACTCTCTTAAAAAAATACAAACTGCTATCTAGCAAGTAAATCTAATAAATACAATGATCCAGCTCAATAAATTGATTCACCAACAGTTCCCTGTCACTTCCCAATCAAAATAGAAATCTCACAGCATGAGTTTTTAGGCTTTTCCTGGTCTGACTGGCCAGACTTGCCTGGTAGACTCTAGTTTATGTTACTTCTTCCTTGTTTAATTTTAAAATACTGATTTCTGATAGTTTCTTTAAAAAAACATTGTGCTTCCGTGCATATGTAGTTTGTAGGTTGCTTTGTCTATATGGAGTTCGCACAGTTAATCCCCCCAGAGAAATCTACTGAGCATTAGCTAAAGCATTTCCTTTCATCTAAAATCCTTTTTTTACCCTTCAAGCAGGCTCAGGTGTTTCATTCTAACTGTGTTCCAAGTATCTTCTGTGAAAATATTTCACAACATATCAAAGTTACTTATTTACTTGTCTTCCAGTTATATCCAGTAAGCATTTGACAGCAACTTCTTTGTTTTCTTTTTTGTCTTTATCAACTGGTATCTAATTGGTGCCAGACATTACTAAGTACTTATTAAATACTTATCAAATGGATGATGACTGGTGTTTGAAGGATAGAATGAATTTTTTAATATTACTGAAAAAATGAAATGCAGTTAAACTACTTATAAAATCAGTCAAATTGTTACTACTGTAATCTTTTATGTATATCCTAAGTATAATCACTCTTAGTTGTAACATTTTAAAATATTTTATTTTCTTTTTAGCTTTTTGATGGCATTGAATGTGAATTTCCTATATTTTTCCTTTACATGATTATTGATGGTAAGTAATATTTTCTTCTGAAATTTAAGTTGTAGGGTAGAAATTGTTTAAAGAAGAGCAGAAGTAAAATGTTAATTCTTTCAGGTGGCATAAGTACTTCAATGTTGCTGTCTGCTTTGCATTTTTAAATGCCTTTCTGAGTGAATTTTAAATAATTTAAGGAATTAAAAATCATTTTGAACTGTTGAGAAACTACATAAATGTTCTCAGATTCACAAGAAAAAAATGTGAATAGAAACCAAGAATATAATAGCCCATAACATTCTGAACACCTGCACTTAAAAATCAAGAAATGTCAGGGTCCTCAGAGATAGTGCAGTGGCTAAAAGTGCCTGCTATTCTAATAGTGAAGCTATAAACTTAATCCTCCTCTCTGTGCTAGGGATTGAATTTGGTTGGCTGTATGCAAAGCAGATTCCCAAACCCCTGAACTACCTCTCTGGCCCTAGAGCTTTCATTTTGTTTATTAGATCTATGTAGCATTTCTTCCCTTTGTTGCTAATGTAACAGAGAAGGTTTTCTCTCTTTTTTTTTTAATCTCCCCACTCCCCATTATTGTAGTTGATGCTGCGCTGACGCGGAATTGCACACACAAATGACTGAGGTGCTCACACATTTTTACCTGGGGTACTTGCTGGGGGTTGCATATCACGATGCTATCTTTAAATACTTGGCTGCAGTGCCCACCAAGGTCCTCAACCCTTTGGTTGTGATGTTCACAATACACAAACTTGTTCAGTGGGGGTTTCACTTCATGGTTCTGGTGCTGCACATCTTTTTCTCAATTGCAGTACTCATTAGGTATCAGTCCTTTCTGTGTTGCTGTCACACACCTGGCTGTGGACCAGAATTGGCTTTGTAATACAGCTGTGGATTTCAGACAGCAGACTGCCATGCTCAAGGAGCAGAGCTGTAGGATGGAGCTTGGTGCATATAATGACTTGGGGCTTTTGAACTCATTACCATATGCCAGCAGAACAAGCACTGTAAGCCACTGTCCAGTAACTACAGAACCAAAATGCTTACCTTTACTTCTTTTTTCTGATGCTTAGTCATTAAAATAAAAAATCCTGGTACTTTCTAGAAGCTGTTTTCTGTAAGTATTTGTAAACTGCCACTTATAACATGACTCTCTACAATAATTTTCTTAAAAAATAATACCCACATTCTTGTTATTTTAAAATCATATTGTATTGATTTACAATGCTCTATATTTCAGAAGTAGAGTTTCTAACTGTATATTTCTATGTATAAATCTCACCCCATGAACCACCAAAGTTCTAGTACCACCACATTATTAAACTTATCTCCGTTACCTATTCTGCTTTTTGTCTGATAACTACCATACTTTTCCACCAAATGCGAGTTATTTTAGCTGTCTTTTGTCAGTTTGTTTGCTTTGGATATATATATATATATATGTATATGTATATGTATAGATATATAGATAGATAGGTAACACTGCACTGTAGCACTGTCCTCCCATTGTTCATCGATTTGCTTGAGCGGGCACCAGTGAAGTCTCCATTGTGAGACTTGTTGTTACTATTTTTGACAACAAATACGCCATGGGGAGCTTGCCAGTCTCTGCCATGTGGGCGGGATACACTCGGTAGCTTGCTAGACTCTCTGAGAAGGATAGAGGGATTGAACTTGGGTCAGCCCTGTGCAAGGCAAATGCCCTACACGCTGTGTTATTGCTCCAGCCCACATATATATGTAGCACTGTAGCTCTGTCCTCCTGTTCATTGATTTGCTTAAGCGGGTACCAGTAACGTCTCACAACAAATTGTGAGACTTGTTGTTACTGTTTTTGTCATATCGAATACATCATGGGGAGCTTGCCAGGCTTTACCATGCTGGCGAGATACTCTCGGTAGCTTGCCAGGCTCTCCGAGAGGGGTGGAGGAATCGAACCCGGCTCAGCTGCGTACAAGGCAAATGCCTTACCCGCTATACTATTGCTCCATCCAGACTATAGAGTAGATTCCATAAAAGGCACAGACACCTTATTTTCTTTAAATAAATGAATTTGATTCATCTATATCTTTGAGCAACATAAAATGTATATATATAAAATACATAGATATATTTCACCTATGAATGAAACCATCCAGGAATTTCCTCCATTCCTTGATTTAGCATACGCACCCATATTCTATCCATTTCTCCTCAAAAGGCACATTCCATAGTTTGTTTATTTATTTATCTATTCGATATGCCAGACACAGTAACAATAAAGTCTCCAATGGAGACGTTACTGGGCCCGCTCGAGCAAATCGATGATCAACGGGAGGGCCTTTACTCTTACTCTTTACTATTTATTTACAAAGCTGCACATGATTGGGTTTCAGTCATACAATGTTCTGACACCCATCCTTTCACCAGTGTAATTTCCCAGCACCAGTGTCCCCAGTTTCCCTCCCACCTTTCCAAGGCCCCATCCCCAACTACCTCTATTACCGGCACCTGTCTCTCTCTCTTTCTCTCTGTCTCTCTGTCTCTCTGTCTCTCTCTCTCTCTCTCTCTCCCTCTTTCTCTTCCTCTCTCTCTCTTCTCTCTTTCTTTCATTTTAGGCATTATGGTTTGCAATACAGCTGCTGGAAGGTTATCATAAATATCCCTGTATCTAATACCAACATTCAATTCCTGTCTAGAGTGTTCATTTCCATGTTGTCATAGTGGATCTTCCTCTATTTTTTGCTTTTTGGGTCACACCTGGCAATGCACAGGGGTTATTCCTGGCTCTGCACTCAGGAATTACTCCTGGCGGTGCTCAGGGGACCATATGGGATACTGGGAATCGAACTCAGGTTGGCTGCGTGCAAGACAAACGCCCTACCCGCTGTGCTATTGCTCCAGCCCCTCTTCCTCTATTTTAACTACTGTCTACCCCACACCCTTGTGGTGCTTTCCAGCCATTGAACAGTCCTCCTTACCCATTTTCCCTGGCCTTGGATATTAATTTCATACTTTTTTTTATATCACAAATAAATGCTGTCATTGCATATCTGACCCTCTCCTTCCGACTCATTTCACTCAGCATGATACTCTCCAGATCCACCCATTTATAGGCAAATTTCATGACCTCATTTTTCTTTACAGCTTGTATAGTAGTCCATTGTGTATATGTACATGTACTATAGCTTCTTTATTCATTTATTCATTTATCTATGTCCATTCTCAGTCATTCAGATAGTTTCCAGTTTCTACATATTGTGAATAGTGCTGCAAATTCTATAGTTTTAACTGCTGGATAGTATTCCACTACCACATGGCAAAGCCTGGGAAGCTCTCCATGGCGTATTTGTTATGCCAAAAACAGTAACAACAGGTCTCACAGTAGAGATGTTACTGGTGCCTGCTTGAGCAAATCAATGTATATCAGAAGGACAGTGCTACAGGGCAGTATTACATTGAGTATATAAACTACTATTTAATTTAGTCATTCATTGATAGGAATATAAATTAATTCCATATATATGCTATTGTGTATAATGCTTCTATGAACAATGAATATGTACATTTGAATTGCCTTTAAATTTTTATATTTATTACTTATCAAAAAATGTCAAAATAATTATAACCAGAATAATAAATGTTTTAAGTAAAATTTCTGTGGTGCTTTTTAAGCTCAGCTAATGTTGGAATTTATATTTCAGGGGTTTTTAGAGGCAATCCACAGCAAGTAAAGGAATATCAGGATCTTCTAGCTCCAGTACTTCATCAAACTATGGAAGGTATAAATAAATTGTACCTTGTTTCACCAAGAAATTCTCCCTTTAATATTTTCTTAGTTTTACTTTGGGATGTTTAAATTATTCCCTTTTAAACAACTATTTGTATTGAATTTTTTGAAAATAGGGCCTCAAATGAGCTAGAAAAAAACAAATCAAATTATTATTAGAGGACATTCTCAACACCTTGATGGTACTTGGGGGACCATGAAATCTTGGAGATAATATCTGAGAATACCACATGCAGAAACTATGCTCCAGCCATTTGAGACATCTCTTTGACATTTATTATGTTTGTGTTTTTATTAAAAAAATTAGCAAGATATGGATAAAGATAAATGTAGGTCATCATGGCTATAGTCATTTCAAATTGTTTGCCAGATAAGAAATTTCTTCAAGCTGTTCCTGCATAACTCCTTCACTTCATATACTTTGGTAGAATATGAAATGACTAAGTTTTCTCTGACTGACCAGAAATGCTATGTTCAGATATGTCCTGCCCCTTTGGAGGGAAACTCAGAAAAGCTTTGCCTTACCCTAAATATACTACCATTGTCAAGAACATTCTGGCTTCCTATTTGAAATTTGCTTTGAGAACTTTTATGTGTTGTTTTAATGTCTGCAGTGCTAAAATGTATTCCTTTAAGGGTTGATTGAATATTTTAGAATTATTATTATCTCTTTTAGGAAAAATATCCAGTCTTAAGAGTAAAACTACATTGTTTCATATAAAAAACAGAAGGGACCATAAAAAAGTGACTTACCATATGGCTAGAAGACTATTTCTCAAAGGAATGTCATAGTAGAAGTTCCAGATATTATGTCACTATATCACTGTCTTCCTGTTGTTCATTGAGTGCCTCGAGCAGGCCTCAGTAACGTCTTCTTCATCCTAACCCTGAGATTTTAAAAAGTGCCACATTCGAGGCTCTTTCAGGGTTATGAGAATGAGACCTATCATTGTTACTGGTTTTTGGCATATCGAATATGCCATGGGGAGTTTGTCAGACTCTGCCATGTGGGCAGGATACTTTTGGAAGCCTTCCAGGTTCTCCAGAGTAAGAACTAGATGATAAGATGTCACGTGGCCACAAATGCAGCCACATGCTTCCGGGAGCAGGATTTTATAGTCTCTGGGTCTTGGCCATTGATTGGATTACATGGCACCGGGGGCATTTGGTGGGTGTAATGCCTACATACTGGAATATGGGGTATCTGGGTGGAGGAGGCCCCAGTCCCAATCCAAGCAGGCTTGGAGATCTATGCCTCGGGTCCCACACACCTGGGTTCCTCGGCCAGTTCCTTCATGTGTGAGGCTCGTCCGAACGTGTGGAGAGTGGTCTTACGCATGGCTGTGGCTGGAACCAGAGGTCTTCAGCTTCGGGGGCTCTTCTCGGGGTGGGGAGGGAAACTCAACCCATCCTCCTTCAAGGGGTCCCAGTGAGGACAGCCAGGCGCGGAGGCAGAAGACTGCCCCAAATATCATGGGTGTTTGAAAAATTAATAAAATAAGAATATAATGTTATGAGTGAATAGCTTTGAAGACATTTATCTAGAAGTTAAAAATTATGATATTTGTAAAAATGATGATATTAGAGATATAATGTAGATAGAAATCCAGTACTGAGCCTAATTCCCTTACCACATAAAATGTATGATATTCTTTAGGATTTTCTACTTGTGTCTTAGAATAAATGCTTAATACTATGGGCTTACCCTTTAAAATACTTTATAAAATGAAAATAATTAAATGTTTATTAATAAACATTCAATTCCAAATAGAATTTTTAAATGAGTTACATGTATATAAGCATATAGATTATCTAGATAATCACTTCTCTGATCTGATATTTGATGTAGTAAATGTTATAATGAATATAATATTTGAAATACCTTAAATAAGACTTTTTACTACTCTGTGCTACATTATTGATTCAGTGATGTGGTAGTTTAATGAGGCATACTTTATTATATTCAGAGAATGGTATTCAAATTATTTTCTTTGTATTACGGATGTTTTCACTTGCTTTAAAGGTATTCCTACTAATTGATATTTGAAGACAGAAGCAAATTTTTAATGAAAATCTGTACAATTTTATTAGGAAAATCAAGTTCTCTCTGTGTTAACACTCTAAAAATCTCTCCTGTAGTTCTGTGTTGTAATGTTATTTACCCCTCTTTATATCATTCCCAAAGATTCTAGTATTCAAAAAATTTTTAGTTTCTGTCAATTATATCTCTGAATAGGTTGCTCCCAGGGGAAGATAGAGAATTTTTTTTCTCTTCAATGATATTAAAATTAGTGGATTTACTGTTTAAAATGGGGAGTTCTCTGTTCTAAGCAATGGCATAGGGTTATAATTCTTTATTTAAGGACATACAATAGCTCATTTGTAAAGCTTCCACAAACAATCCCATCAAAATTGTTTTTTTCTATAACTATTTTTATACTGTGTATTTACTGATTTATATGTACCACTGTCTTCTCATTGTTCTTCCATTTGCTCGAGTGGGCCCAGTAACGTCTCCATTGTGAGACTTGTTGTTACTGTGTTTGGCATATCAAATACATCAGGGGTAGCTTACCAGGCTTTGCTGTGCAGGCAAGATACTTTCAGTAGCTTGCCGGGCTCTCTGAGAAGGGCAGAGGACTCAAACCCAGGTCAGCCGGGTTGGCCGGGTCGGCCGCTTGCAAGGCAAACACCCTATCCGCTGTGCTATAGCTCCAGCCCTGATAGCTGATTTCTATAAAATTGTTAAAATTAAATATTATTACTAAAAAAAATATTGTGTATACATTGCTGGATAAATTGTAACATATACTGTCAAATCAGTATATTAAATTTCTTTATTTTTCCATTGTGATTTTTTTTAAATTAATGTATTTATTGAAACACCATGAGAAAAATTACAAAGCTTTCAGGTTTAAGTCTCGGTCATACAATGATCAAACACCCATCCCTTCACCAGTGCATATTTTCCATCACCAAGAACCCCACTATACCCCCAATCCCACCTCTCCCATTGCCTGTGAGGCAGATGATTTTCACTTAACTCTCTCTCTACTTTGATTATATTCATTATTTTGACAAAAGATGCACCATTATTATTTGGAATTTTCCCCCAACAATCAGACCTGCTAAAAAGGCATTGTGAAATAATTTGTTTTCTATTGCTGGTTATGAAGACCATATGATGTTGCACAGCCTCTATTGTGGATCTTGGATTTCTGATATTTTACTAATTAGCCAAAAGCTGCATAGTTACGAGATTTGTTTGTGTGCCTCTGGGGCCATGACCGTGCCAGAGAGCTGCTCTTGGGGGGCAACTTTCAGCCTCAGCTGGGTGGGAAGGACATGCCGGTTCCGCCCTCCCATTCCATGAGGTCGCTGTTGCCCCGTCACTGCCAGCTCATACCTGACTGTCCAGTAAGCTCTACTGATGATTTCTGAGTCAGAATACTTACTTTTCAATATCTTACATGCAAATTTTCTCTTTCTACCTTCTAATCAATATTCTCTGAAGGGAAAATGTGAATGCAGGGGGAAGGGGAATGACACTGATTTGTAATACTTTAAAAAACTGTATTTTAAAACTTCATAGGTTATCCTGTCATACCAAAGTACTATTACGTACCAGCTGACTTTGTAGAATACGAAAAAAGAAACCCTGGGAGTCAAAAGCGATTTCCTAGCAACTGTGGCCGTGATGGAAAGCTATTTCTTTGGGGACAAGCTCTTTATATCATTGCACAACTCTTGGGTAAGTGGAGAGAATGGCAACATTTTTTCTTTTATTATCAAGCCACTAGAAATATCTCTAGAGCTCATGTTTTTCTTGAGTTTCGTTACAATTCATGTTGTTAAAGGGTTTTGAAAGGAGTTTTATTGCATGTAAAGGTTTATTAATATGTCTAATTCACCTAATTATGAACAGTTTTTGAGAAGAAAATAAAATAGGTATAGTAATGATAATCACTAAGGGCACTGCCTTCAGCTTAATGATTATGTTTCTTGTAGAAGGCTATGAAAACTTTTAGTCACCTTTATATAACATTATAAAATTCTGATTTAATGTAATAGTTAAGCATGTTCATAGTTTTTGTAAACCACTTACCAAAAGGAATTGATTATCAGAGTTTTCTTTTTTTTCCAATAAATACACATTTGCAATTTTTTCAGTTAGCTAGAGGCATAATGGGACCATTATTCATAATTTTCTAAGAATTACTTTTTTGGTTTCTCTTAAAACTTTAGCTGAATAAAAACAATCTTTTATTCACTGAAATGAAGGCTAATTTGACAAACACAACAGAGCATTATTCATCTTTCTGTACTATTCCATGCTAAAATTCCACATATTAATAGCATTGCCATAAAAAAGCCTATCATTTAGAGTAAGAATTGTTTTATGACAACATATTCTGAAACAGGTCTCATTCCCCTGACCCTGAAAGAGCCTCCAGTTGTTGGGATAGACGAGTAAGGAGAGGCTGCTAAAATCTCAGGGCTGAGAGGAATAGAGAGGTTACTGGTACCCGCTCAAGTAAATCGACGAACAATGGGATGACAGTGATACAGTGATACAGTGATTCTGAAACAGGTTGATTATAAATACTGTATTGAACTATTTTAATACAATACAGCTTACTGCTTGAAGTACTATATTCTCTTTATTGTTCCTATACTTACTGCAGAAACGTTAAATTTGTTTTTACTTTAAGAGTAATCATCTTTGGTTTTATTTTTACATTTCATTAGGGAAGATCATTTCAAAAAATTAGAATTATATAAATAATATATGAGCATATAGAAACTAATGAAAGGAGAAAATTTTAATTAAAACTATTTTCAATATGTTTGTTTTATAGTATTTTCTGACTATCTATGTATACTTAGTGCTAACTTAAGAACCTAAAAACATATTTTTCTCCCTTTATAAATATTATTTTCTGCCCAGCATTTTCAAGGGGCCCCAAACGCTTCATGGTGATGCTAAGTGTTTAGGCCCAGTGGTACCTAGAATCCATCAAACTGCACTAATAGAGCAGAGATGGGAAAGAATGTGGGATTCAAGTCAAAGCCTTACACATGCTAGGCAGGTGCTCTGCTTCTCGAGTCACATCACTGGCCCTTAAAGGGATAGATTTTTTAAATAAGAATCTGAATATTCAACTCTGTTACAGTAAGCCAAGGGTCTGTCTTTATTCCAGTACCATGCTGTTTTAATTACTATGCATTGTAGTACAGTTTGAAGCTGGGGAAAGTGATAACTCCCATCCTCTTTTCCCCAAGGATTACTTTAGCTAATAGGGGATGGGGGGGTGCATATTATTGTTCCAAATGAATTTCATATTTCATATTTCACTGGAGAAGAACTTTTCCTCAGAACATGCAACAGAGGAGGCATCGATAGTGTCGGTGTCCTGGTCAACACGAACTTGGCCATAAACATTGATTCATTCCAATGTCTTACAATCTGAATCGGAAGATTATGCTTGAACAGGTATGCCTCACTGCCAGCAGTTTCTATATTCTTTGTCTATGCACCAACATGCAATAACGATGAAGGAGAAATTGAGAAGTTTTACATGGAGCTGGAGAAGTTCTATAAAGAAGACCACACCTTCTACAAGATCATTGTTGGTGATTTTAATGCCAAGGTAGGACCAAGAACATCGTCCAAACAACTCCACATTGGGATCTGTGGCCTAGAACGGAACAAACAGGGTGAGAGACTGAGTTCATCATGTCGACCAAGACCATCCATGGTAACTCACAGTTCCAGAATGCCGAATCTAAACGTTGGGCATGGGAGTCTCCCAGTGGACGGTTCCACAACAAAATTGACCACATCATATTCAATCGATGGTCTTGCCTGACGGATGTCACTGTTGTCCCAAAATTTCAAACGGTATCAGACTACCGTCTCCTTTGTGCAAAATTCTACTTCACAGAGTGGGGAGAAGGGGCTGCAAAGTTTAAGAAGAGAACTCCCATAACAACCACCAACTGGGAGCTCTTTGGCACTATTGTGGTAACATGGGAAGATGCCGTTATTGACAACATTGACAAAGAATACCATCGATTGGTTCACACCTCCATGACTGTGCGAGGAATGCCGAGAGAGGAATAGCCACAAAAAGACGCCTTCTTAGAAAATTCTCGAGCTCATTCACCAACATGGCTTGGTGCAAGCCTCAGGCAACCACAAGCGAATGTCTGAGCTCGCAAAGAAGTGCAGAGAAGCAATAACGGAAGACCTCAAAGAGAGAAGAGAAATAGTGCTGCCAATGCAGCAGAAGCCGGGAAAAGCATTTGCAATGCCCACCTGTCCTTCACTAACTACAAGACCAAGATGACTGCCCTTTGACATCCTGCAGGATCTATCACATCTTCCAGAATGCAATGGAGAAGATTATCCATAACTTCTACTCAGATCTCTTCAATAGCCACGTCCATCTGCCCACATACCAAATTCCGCAGGATAGATATGTCGTTCCCATTGTTCTCCCTTCCTAAATCTGACACACCATTTTGTTGGTAAAGAAGTAAATAGTACCCGGCCCAGACAAGGTCAGACCCGAACACCTGAAGAACCTGCCATCAGTACTCATCAATACACTGCCTTGGCTCCTCACACGCTAGCTGTCTGAATGCAAGGTTCCATCCCAATGGAAACCCAGTAGGACTGTTCCACTGTACAAGAAGGGAGGCATCTGTGACATTGGCAACTATCACCCAATCTGCCTGTTGTCTGTCATCTACAAGCTGTTCACTTGAGTCATCCTTAATAGGATTGGCAGAACACCAGATGAAGGACAACCATGTGAGCAAGCCAGGTTCCGAAAAGGATTCAGCATGATTGACCATATCCATGCAATAACCAAGCTCATTGAGATTTCTCGGGAGTTCAAGATGCTGCTCTGTCTATCATTCATTGATTTAAAGAAGGCCTTTGATTCTGTTGAGACTGAAGTGGTCATCGAAGTCCTAGCCAAACAAGGCGTTCAAACTCAGTACATCAGGATCCTCTGTCAGCTGTATTACAGATTCACTATCAGGATTTCACCATTCTACAAGGAAGTGATCATCGATGTCAAGAGAGGGGTTCAGCAGGGTGATACCATTTCACCGAAACTCTTCAGTGCCACCCTCGAGAATGCCATGCAACAACTGGAATGGAAAGGAATGGGAATGAAGATAGATAGCCGGCAACTACACTACCTCCGCTTTGATGATGACATCATTCTAATAACACCAAACATCCAAGCTGCACAAATGCTGGCCGACTTCGACCATGAGTGTGGAAAGGTCGGAATGCAGCTAAATCTCACAAAGACAATGTTTATAAGAAACAGACCGTGTGGCCGCCCACCTACTAGCTGGTCAAACTTCTTCGTCCAGACCCTGAATGATCCATTTGAGGCTCTTTGTGTTCCTGGAGAGAGCAGATGCCATTGGGCTACACTAGCACACGACAGAGATGAATGGACACGTTACTGGCACCTGTTCAAGCAAATCATGAGTAATGGGATATCAAGTGATCAAGTGAGGAATTTCATGAGTGTTTGATCTATGTCTTTGAAAAAATGTCATAAGTACCTCTTTAAAGACAGTATTGAATCTGTACAATTACTTTGGGGGAGTATTGCCATTTTGGTGTGCTCCCAATCCATTAGCAGTGAATGTGTTTCCATTTACTCCTCTTCTCTCTTATTTCATGATATAGTATTTGTTACTAGCTTTCTTTCTATGAGTCTTTCATATCTTTAGTTAAGCTGATTCCCAGGTACTAGTTTTTCTGAGGCACAGTTGCAAATGGGATTGTTTTTTTAAAATCTCTCTCTCTCTCTCTCTCCTTTTTTATTATTTGCATATAGAAAAGCCATGGGCTTTTACATATTGATTTTGTAGCCTACTACTTTATTATATAACTCTTGTTCTTGGAGCTTTTTTTAGTCTTTAGGATTTTCTAAATATAGTATCATTTCATTTGCAAATAGTGAGAACTTGCCTTCTTTCTTTCTAATTGGGATGCCCTTGATAACTTTTTCTTGCCTGACTATTATGGTAAGTACTTAAGAACTATATTACATAAAAGTGGCATGAGTGAACAACCTTTTTTTGTACCTTATCTTGGAAAGAAGGCTTCTAGTTTTTCCTCATTGAGTATAATGTTTGCTGTAGGCTTGTAGCAAATGGCTTTGACTATGTTGGAGAAAGTTTCTTCAATTCTCATTTTGTTGAGAATTCTTTTTATGAGTTGGTGTTAGAAATTGTCAAATGCTTCCCCTGTGTATATTGATATGATATGATCTTATGATTTTATATTTTTCTTTTCTTTATATTGTGTGGGCTGGAGTGATAGCACAGCAGATAGGACATTTGCCTTGCATGCAGTCGACCCAGGTTCTATTCCTCCGCCCCTCTCGGAGAGCCCAGCAAGCTACCAAGAGTATCTTGCCCACACAGCAAAGCCTGGCAAGCTACCCATGACATATTTGATATTCACAAAACAGTAACAACAAGTCTCACAATTGTGAGACATTACTGGTGCCCGCTTGAACATATCGATGAACAACAGGAGGACAGTGCTACAGAGCTACAGTGCTATATTGTGTATTATATTGATTGACTTGAATATGTTAAACCCTTCTTGCATCTCAGGATGAATCTCACTTGGTCATGGTGTATGAATCTTTTTTGCTATCAAAAAAGAGTAACTCTCTTCTTTGGTGGCGCCTCTGCTTTTGGTGTCAG